ATATATATATATATATATATATATATATATATATATATATATATCATAAATACCTATAATTTAAAAAACTAGAATTAAAAAATACTTTTAGATAATCATAGGCTCGATGTGGAGTGATTTCATCTTCATCATCGTAACATTTTGCATACAAGGGTAAGGCATTTGAAATATAATATCTATTGGAGTGACGCTGAAATAATTTCAATATCATTTCTGTAATTAAAAAAAAAACAAATTTCCTACATAAACGAAGATGAATAAATTGCGTCAAAAAACTAGATTATAAAAGAACCTTTTTTTCCAGATCATAGTCATACCAAATACCATCTGTTTCATTCCAATGAATAACTTTTAACGACAGCTTTGCCATTTCATACCACGACTGATATAGCAGAACTTTCGGAAAGTTACCTGGAAAAGAAATTCACCACTTTTCAGAAGTTAATATTCATAAGAGTCAATTATCAACTATGGAAGAATATAAATTTGACTCTCCACTTTTTAATGTTTGAAATTTGATAAGAAAAACAATTTCTCCTTAAGACTGAAATTACAGTCCTTCAACATGTAACTTTCATCTGAAAAAATATTTTAAGCCTCATCTCAAAATAGCATCACTGATAACAAATCACTCGTGCTGCAATATGAAGTGAAAAATTTATAGTAAAAAATACCACTGATTTCATAAAATGATGCCATTATTCTGGCATTAGTACATATGAATGCGTTTAAATCAACAGGGATAATTGACCATGTACGAATTGACTTCATCTTGTGCATTTTAGGACCACTCTGTGCAAACCAACGGGTACTGAAATCCCAGCCTGTCTCAGCTGCTGATGCTACATTTGACCATATTAAATGCTTCTCTGCAAAGAACTATGAATTTTCTTTGAAATTAAAATAGAGGTTTCAAATACAAAATTATATGGCTGAACGAAATCCCTCTGTAACGTACTCATGAAAATAAATAACCGAAAAAACAATGATGTAATAGAATAAATTTTGAATTTTCAGTGAGCTAGAAAAATTATTAAAATGTTGAAAATATCGAAAAACTTCACTGACCCGTTGAAGAAAGACCTTCAGCCAATTCTAAATCTTCTCGATATGACTCTGGACGTGGTGTTTTCATACTTGCACGGTACTGGAAGTATAAAATAGTTCTATTATATCTTTCATCATAAAATGACTGAGCACGATTTAACATCCAAAATTTATACTCCTTTTCAAGCATTGGAAGTATCTGAAAGTAAATAAAAAGTTGCTCTGAAAGAAAATTCGAAATAATCCGTGAAAATGTCCCTTTTAAAATTCGATTAAAAACTGATGAACTATAATTCATCAGCACTCATTTTATTGAACGCAACTATTTTGTGCGCTGCACTAGCAAAATCCTTCCATATAACTCAAATAGCATCTGTGGTTTACAGATCTTCAAATAATTCAAATATCGGAATAGAACGAGAAGAGGAAATAAATAAGTGATTTAAATTAAAAAGCTTTAATAATGAAAGTTTGAAATTTTAAGAGGTCCTAACTTCTTGGACGAAGTCTAAGTCACCAGTAGCCATATAATACTCATAAACCATTGGAGTAAGTAATGGCGGTTGAGATCTAATTAAATAATAAACTCGACCACCGTTGGGTACAAAACCATGACTGAAACAAATGTGAAGCTATTATTTCTTAAATGGTTTGTTTACTATATCATATTTGAGAAACCAAATTACATGAATAAACATTCACTTACTTTTCAACCATATAAGCTAAATTACGAATGATCCCTTTTGCTGTTTCATACATTTCGGAAAATAATAACCCTTTCACAATCCAGAATGAGTCCCTAGAAGAAAGGCTTATAAATCATTTTCAATACCGTGCTCATTAAAACTACAGCACTTGAGAACACAGACAAAAAGTTTTAATTTCTACAGCTCCTAATACGATAGACGACTATGACAAAAAAAATCATTTACAGCTTATTTTTTGTTGAATAGTAATTACAGACTAGAAGAGCTACCAATAATAAAATTCGCGAAAACGACCGCCAGGTATGATGAACGGATGAGGAACATAAAGCAATGAAAATAGTTCTTGGTGTTGTCGGACATCATCCTTTACCTGCAATTTGAAAGACATTAAAATTAAAATGTCTTAAGGAATCTTATATTTTCTCGAAAACATGACTACTTATATTTCACTAAAACTTTGCACCAAAAATTAATCTAGTTCATTAACCAGTGTGTACAGGGTAAAATGAGCAGTGGTACAATACTGACATTGACGTGTCTTTTAAAAAAAAATTATCTCGATGATAGAGTATCGAACTAAGACTATTTTATAAACGAATATGATATAAATCAAATATTTTTCAAGAGCAAAGCTTTAGTTCTAAGAATTAAAGCATACTCACTTTCCTACAAAGATCCCTCCATATTCTGTGCAAATGCAATGCCCATCTTCTCAAATGATAGTCCTCGATTTTGAGGAAACTTGATGGGAAAACTGTCCAATCTTCTGGATACCATTCGATTAATTCGAATCCCGGAGGATCAAAATGTTCGTCCACAAATTTTTGCAGCACAGTTTTGTTATCCCATTTTCCATTTAAATCATAGAAATGTCTTAAAGTTGTCACTAAAACACAATACTAACTGCACCCAAAGAAAATTTGTAACAAACATAGAAACATTTATTGAAAAAGCCAAACTTATAATTTGCAAATAAAAACTTTAATAACAGAGCAACATACTTTTTTGACTCTTATGCACTCTAGTAAATTTATCACCTACTTACTGAGTTGTAAAACCATTTAGAATAGTTATCAATAAAAACATTTTTTTTTTACCTGGATCAAGTTTCAGCGGCATATCAACGAAATGCTTCGAATCGGGAAATAAATGGGCATCCTGAACGGCTTTTAAAATAGGTCCATTGCAATAAATTTGACTGAAAATAACATCTGTAGTTTTCAAAATATTAAAATTGTAATTGAATGATTCTATCATTAGTACTTAATTTACTTGCGATCTTTTTTTGTCTATCATTCTTACTAATTAATTATCACCAATCCTCAATCGTCTTTGCATTTAAGTAATAATATATAATAAGCTAATTCTTAATGGCAAATGTAGCAGGAAATACATTGCTCAAATCCTAATATTTTAGTTGCAGTTAAAGGCAGATCCTTAAAATCAGAAAACTAAGTAAACTTACGTAAGTAAGGTGATCACGTAGTAAAGCATTCTTTTAACAGAACTAAAATCGAATATTAATACTAACTTAATAACCAATAAATGCCAACTGAGATCGGGCAGCAACAAAAAATATTGTATATCACCAAGTGTTCAGGCAGAATAATTCGAAGTCTCATCAGAAATAACAACCGTAATAATCATTAGCTAAATGATAGAGAGATGACTGATTTCCTAAGTTTCGAAAAGAATGAGTTGAGGCAAAAAAAGCACTTCAAATAACCTGTCATCATTATCATCATCATTTAGCGAATGATTTTTTCAAGAGCAGCAATTCCACTAACTTACCAATCCCTACATTAGAGTCAGCAAAATTTTCTTCTTCAGTTTACATAACACCTGGCATTGCCACTAGTTCAAATTTTTTGGCATTGATCTTTTCAGAGTTGACTTCTAGAATAAAAGACTATTGAATAATTCTTGCAACTGTCTTCAAGTTAATCTTGTTTATAAATTGATGCACCGAACAGAAAAAAACTAAAATGAAACAAAGAAAATTGTAGAAACTAGATTTAAAGTTTATTATACGGAAATATAATGAAAATACAACGACTATTTACTACTATGATATTCATTGTAGCATAAATAATCATTCAATATGACTGCTGGAAATGCGAAGCAACTTCAATAACTGCAAAAAAGAATAACATTTTTAAACGCTGATATAATCAAAGTAAATTTGATTGATTTCATTTGATATCATCACTAATTATTGTATAATTTGAATATAGTTCTTCTGGAAGATAACTGTACTTATATAGCATTTCACTCCAATTTGCCAATTGATTGTTTTACCTTGCAGATGACTCAGCACTGATTTTTACAAATAGAACGATTATTTTCGATCATTTTTGAGATGAATTCCATTTTTTCTTTTCTTCGTCCTTAAATGACAGCTTTAATTTAAGAAACTTTACTGACATAACGAAATAACGAGTAACCAAATTAAATTTAACAAAAAAATTATTTCAGGAAATGAAAAAAAAGAATGCAAAATGGCGAATTTAATGATTTGTTAAATTAATGCAATCAAGAAAATGTTGTTACCAGAGTAAAGTAAAAACCGTGATTAGAAATATCGCAAACATCCAAGAAGACAGATGTTAGAATGATTGTACGCACTGAAAGTATTCTCGTTTTTTTGCTTTGTTTTTTCAAATTTAAAACGATTGAATTTAACAGAAACAAGAATAAAATTTCGTAAATTAAAGAATAAATAAGCTTTATTTATTAAAATATTAGGCTAAAATGACTTAACTTTGAAGCATAAACAAAGAAAAGAGAAGGCATTTTCAAGGGATTAAACTGCGTCTTAAAATAAAACGTTTCAGCGATGTTTATAGTTTTTACCTTCAAATGCATGTACTTAAAACATCATTCAATAAGAACGCTCACTCAAAAAACTTCTCACTTGCTTTTTAAACTGACAACTTATGCATTCAAAGTTACAATAAGCAGTAACTCATTCAATTCTCATAAACGTGCTCTAATCCCCGTTATTACGAACTAACGAAGTAGAGAGGAAATTAACATTTAAACAAAGTATACCAATAAAATTTAATTAGTGTAATGAGTTCGGATATAAATGAAGTACTGCAATATGCTTCAAAATTAATTACCCTCGATTTAGGAAACATAATAATCGTTAATGCAGTTGTATTCATTCTGTTTTAACGTTGTCAAGCTTTATTAAGCTATTCATTATGCTTTCTTTACGACTGTCCAACCAATTGATACTTGCAATTTTCACGCAGCACGTAGTGCATTTCTTACAAAAAGAATGAACCAGACAAATAGACGACTCCATCGTATTTCATGAATTTGATCATATGATAGTATATATGTCTTCCCGGCGTACAAAGGGGGCCGTATCACGAAATTTACACCAGAAAGTTCAGATTCATTGCAAAGCAATTCGATAGTTTTCAATTATAGTGACTTTTTTTACCTTTGCGAGTTTAGCATCTTCCTATTTATTAATTTGTATTATTCTTCCTCTTGATGAAATATATCCAAATATAACTTAAGTGTTATTCACGTGTAATTACTTACTCGATATCGAAATGTCTAAATTGCTTTTTAAGACTTGTCATCCCTTATTATTATATTTTACTTCTAAAATATTGTTAGATCGATTAATTAAGTTTAATCGATCAGTCAATGATCGATTAATAAAGTTTTGAACAAAGATATTAAGCAAACCCTATACGTAAGGCGTTTGTCATTACTACCGTCTGTTACTCTTTAATGACTTTGTTAGCATCATTTTTTAGTAATTTTGTAGATAGTAATGTTCATTGTTGATCAAAAAGTTGCTCGTATTAACTTATTTTTTCATTTAATACATATTTAACTTTTATAACTTGAAATCCATTCCTGATGACAATTATTTTATGGAATATATGTTATTTCATTTGATTAATTACTTTAATTACTGTTTGATCTTTATTTTTATCATTTATCGCAAATATCAATATAGAATAAGACGATTTAAACGTTTTGAGTAAAGTATAAATGAAGTGAAATCGTATTGCATATTGAAATCATTCAGTTATCTCATTTCTAGTCAAATTTCAAACTTATCCTTCATAATCACTCCAGTTCTGAGCTTCAACTTTTTTTCTATTAATTGTGCAACAAAGTGTTAAAAAGAGTGAATAGAAAATTGCCTGCGTAAATTTGTAATAGTGTAAAAATATAAAATTTATGTTAGGGTAAATATGTGCATTAGATATGAATGCATATACCCGGTATCTAACATTTAATATTTCTCATTAAAGTTATAAACAAATTATCATGAAATGAATATGATTCAGCAATTAAACACAGAAACTAAGCTGATAAAGTGTTGTCACTTAGGAAACATGTTGTGAAGTCGGAGCCAGTTTTGCAAAAAATAAATAAATGTTGTAACTCTTATAAATACTTTGTGTTGAATTCTTTGTGTTGAATTCTGTTACTAGCCATGTTTATAGTAATCCGGTAATTAATCAGTTGGAAAATGTTGTTTAAAGTATTTTGCAAATTACATATTATCAGATATTTTGTTTTGGCTTCAAAATGAAAAATAAAGGAGAGAAGTAAATATCATTTTTGAAACTAGTTTTATGCGAATCAAAATATTTGACTCACTTTCATAAACAGAAAAAGTGCACTTTATTGAAGGTGAAGTACTCTATGGCCCTCGGTTCATAATCATATTCACAGTTCATTAATCATGAATTTGGTCCCACTTTTTTGGTTTTCGTAACAGTCCTTGCAAACATATTACCATTAAATAATTTGGTATACTAATGAAAATATAGAAAATGAGATTTTTGATGAGGTGAATTACTTGTAAATGATTTGGGCGATTATAAAATTCGAATCACTTACTTTACCTCATAACTATTCTCCTCGTTTGTTAGGTTAACAGTTTGAAAAGGCTACTTTTAATTTCAAATTAGTAGCAAAAGCCTTGCATAATAAGTTTAATCCCTTTACCATTCACTTTAAGCCAGATTTTTTAAATAAATTACATTAAATTAAAATTGGATTGAAATTGAATAAGAAGCCTGAATTATGACTTGATAGAATGTGGTAAGTGTTAGTATTAGACAGTAAATTTATTTTTTTATGCAATTTTTTACACCTGAACCTAGCCAAAATGATAGTAAAAAGTATTGAGAGAAAAACTTGAAAATTCAACTTAAGATTAAATATTAATTGGGTAGAAAAGCAAACGTGGATTTTATATCCATGAGAAATGAATGCATCTAGAGTACCAGCAGAATTAAATTTTAATTGTAACTATGCAGCAAAAATAATGATAATAACAGTAATAATAACGACGAAAATAATAATAGCAATGACAATAATAATGATAATAGCAGTGATAATAATAATAATAATAATAATAATAATAATAATAATAATAATAATACTAACTATGACAATAACATTAATAATAAATAATAGATAATAATAACAAATAATAAATTAATAATAATGGTAAAGATAATGAATAATAATGGCAATAGTTGGTTTCGTTTGATAAGATGAGGTCAATTTATAATGTGCATGGGATGTATTGCTGGAAGTGGTGGGTTCATTACTTTAAAGAAAAGGCAGTAATTATTTGTATTTGCAAAGTTAAACAGGTTGAAAACTGTTTAAAATTTACTGATCATAAATTAAATTCATATTCAGTAGCTGCAGAATAGAATATAGTTTAGTTTTAAAAACTAATGAGTGCTTATTTGGAAATAAAGGTTTGCAGTTTACATGACTTCATGTCATGAAGTAGTAAAAATAAAATTATAAGGAGAATCAGATCATTTTAAACTCAAAGCACACGAGATACTCAGTAAAAAAAGTCTGAAGGAAAAAATTAATCAACGGATTATTTATGCAAATATTACCTTCAAAAGATACGGACATTATTTACTGCTTGAAAAAAAGTAGCATGTATGCATGTTTGTACAAAACGTACAAATGAATTCAAGTTTTAATTTGAAAGGTTTTTGAAGCCAACACGAAGGAAAGAAAGCTTTTTGAACATTAAAATAAAGTAGAAAAGCATATGAGAGGTGATTGAATTACAAATTTTCAAACAAAAGTAAAATAATATTTAGCTTTTTCAAGAAGTGGATATTTTGCAAAACAAATTTACACGCAAGAGAAATAAGAATCAAAATAAAAGTAAAACTATTGCAAAACATTTTGGATAGTTTACTTTCAGAATTAATATCTTTCATTTTCAATACATGTCAGAATCTTCCAACAGGGAGTCTATAATTGACTTGATCTCCCATAATTAATTTTCAACAATAATTTTCGAACATATTATTCTCGAATTATTGCAGACATTTTTCATCATTTTATCACCTAGATATCTATTCATATGCAAATTTTATCTCTTTTTTTGCTCCTTCTTCTGCCCCTTCTCCTTCAAAATTTGAAACTATCATACTAAACTAAAGTGAAGCTAAAAAATTTAAATTATTGTAAGT